ATTCAGGATATTTTGGGGATATTTTAGGATATTTTGGGGGATATTTTTACAATAATTTCAGAATATTTTTATGATATTTTTGGGATATTTTGGGGGATATTTTTATGATAAATTCAGGATATTTTTATGATAATTTCGGGATATTTTGATGATAATATCATGATATTTTGGGGATATTTTGGGGATAATTTCAGGATAATTTCAGGATATTTTTACAATAATTTCAGGATATTTTGGGGATAATTTCGGGATATTTTGGGGGTTATTTTTATGATATTTTTACAATAATTTGGGGATATTTTGGGGCTATTTTGGGGTTATTTTTACAGTAATTTCAGGATATTTTGGGGGATATTTTTACAATAATTTCAGGATAATTTCAGGATATTTTTGGGATAATTTCAGGATATTTTGGGGATATTTTTACAATAATTTCAGGGTATTTGGGGGTTATTTTTACAATAAATTCAGGATATTTTGGGGATATTTTTGGGACAATTCCAGGCTGTTTTGGGGCTGTTTTGGGTGTTATTATGGGATGTCTCAGATGGCCACGCTGTTCTCGATGTTCTCGGGGTCCAGGTAGGGGAATGGGGGAGAATTTGGGGAAAATTTTAAAGATAATTTCAGGATAAATTCAGGATATTTTGGGGATATTTTTGGGATAATTTCAGGATATTTTTGGGACAATTTCAGAATATTTTGGGGATATTTTGGGGATATTTTTGCAATAATTTCAGGATAAATTCATTATATTTTGGGAATATTTGGGGGATTTTTTTTGGTGTTTTGGGGATATTTTTGGGATAAATTCAGGATATTTTGGGGCTATTTTTGGGATAATTCCAGGGTATTTGGGGGCTATTTTTGGGACAATTCCAGGATATTTTTGGGATAATTCCAGGATATTTTTACAATAATTCCAGGATATTTTGGGGGTAATTCCAGGCTGTTTTTGGGACAATTCCAGGATATTTTTGGGACAATCCCAGGCTGTTTTGGGGCTGTTTCGGGTGTTATTATGGGATGTCTCAGATGGCCACGCTGTTCTCGATGTTCTCGGGGTCCAGGTAGGGGAATGGGGGAGAATTTGGGGGAGAATTTAATGATAATTTCAGGATAAATTCAGGATAATTTGGGGATATTTTGGGGATATTTTGGGGCTATTTTGGGGATATTTTGGGGCTATTTTTGGGATAATTTAGGATATTTTGGGGCTATTTTTACAATAATTTCAGGACATTTTTACAATAATTCCAGGATATTTTGGGGCTATTTTCGGGATAATTTCAGGACATTTTGGGGTTATTTTTACAAAAATTTCAGGGTATTTGGGGGATATTTTTAGGATAATTTCAGGATATTTTGGGGATATTTTTGGGACAATTCCAGGATATTTTTGGGATAATTCCAGGATATTTTTGGGATAATTCCAGGCTGTTTCGGGTGTTATTCTGGGCTGTCTCAGATGGCCACGCTGTTCTCGATGTTCTCGGGGTCCAGGTAGGGGTAGGGTCTCTCCAGGGCCGCGTTCCGGGCCCGGATCCCGCGCGAGATTCGGCGCAGGCGGCGCCGGAAACGCCGGATCAGGAGGCGGGGCCCGGGCTCGGTGAAATGGAGCTCGGGAAAATGGCCCAGGGGACGCTGGGAACGGATACTGGGGTTACTGGGGATACTGGGAATACTGGGAATGGATACTGGGAGCACTGGGAGCTCGGGAAAATGGCCCAGGGGACGCTGGGAACGGAAACTGGGGTTACTGGGAATACTGGGAATACTGGGAGCTCGGGAAAATGGCCCAGGGGACGCTGGGAATGGAAACTGGGGTTACTGGGAGCACTGGGAATACTGGGAATGGATACTGGGGATACTGGGGATACTGGGAATGGATACTGGGAGCACTGGGAGCTCGGGAAAATGGCCCAGGGGACGCTGGGAATGGGAAACTGGGGTTACTGGGGATACTGGGAATGGATACTGGGGTTACTGGGGATACTGGGAATGGATACTGGGGATACTGGGGATACTGGGGATACTGGGAATGGATACTGGGGATACTGGGAGCACTGGGAGCTCGGGAAAATGGCCCAGGGGACGCTGGGAATGGAAACTGGGGTTACTGGGGATACTGGGGATACTGGGAATGGATACTGGGAGCACTGGGAGCTCGGGAAAATGGCCCAGGGGACGCTGGGAATGGGAACTGGGGTTACTGGGAGCACTGGGAGATACTGGGAATGGATACTGGGAATGGATACTGGGAATGGATATTGGGAATGGATACTGGGGATACTGGGAATGGGATACTGGGGTTACTGGGGATACTGGGAATGGGAACTGGGGTTACTGGGGATACTGGGAGCACTGGGGGTCAGAGTTGAGCTGGGGTTGGTTTGGATCATTTTTGTGTCATTTTGGGGTCATTTTTGGGGTTATTTTGGTCAGGTTTGGGTCATTTTTTCGGGGTTTTTTTTGGGGTCACTATTTAGGGGAGGGGTCTGTGATTTGGGGAGGGGTCT